AGGAGTTTATATGTGGCGGTGGAGACAGCCGGTAGTGGACTGAGGTACAAACAATCCGTCCCATTTTCCAGGTAAGAAAGCTAAGGGACGGAAGAGAAAGAGATTGCTCTAAAGTCACACAGTGATAACAAAGCTGCGATAAGCAGCCCCATTTTAAAGATAGGGAAATTTAGACACAGAGAAGCGAAGTGACTTGCCCAGAGAAACCGGGACAGAAAGTGGCAGAGCCGAGTCTCCACCACGCCGGAGAGCTGGCAGGCCGGGCTCCGGCGGCCACTGTGCCCCGCCCCGACGAGGGCGGAGCCAGCCCCAGCCACACCCCCACATTCCTGGCAGCCGCGGCGGCTGTTTCCTGCCGGGGTTGCTGGGCGGGCGGCCGGCCCATCTGGCAACCCCCACGGGGCGGCGCGGGGAGGCGGCCCAGACTTGCTGGAGCCAGGCGCCGGCCTGGGCCTCCCTGCCCGCCTGGAGAGCCCAGGTGTGGCCACGGCGGGGGTGGGGTGGTGCTTTCCTTCCCGCTCGACCCTTCCTGATACACTGGGCAGGATGCAGCCTACTCACGCCCCTCCTGCCTCTGCCTCCGCCTCCACGACCCGGCCTGGAATCCCAAAAGGAGGAAGCGGGTGGGAAGGGAGGAGCGGCCCTTCCCTCTGATAGCCACTTTGTGAGACCCGTTGTCTTGCCGCACCCCCCCCCCCCGGAAAACCGCTGTACAATTAGCACCCCCTCCGTTTATCGAAGAACCCAACTTCCCCATTTGTGCAAGGACACCTGAAATCCCACCTGGGTTGCACAGGCTTTTGCTTCGTTTCTCGGGCACCCCAGGCACGACTGTGGGAACCGGAGGAGGCACTTCCCCTGCCCAGGGGATAGCTCTTGATTTGACATCCATTTATTTAGCCATTTTGAGCTGGGGGCAGGCAGGCATTTGACCTCTTCTGTTCCTTGCTATGTCCTCAGCGAGTTACCAGGTGCTTAATTCACATCTAGTATAGTCTTTTTTTTTTTTGAGACGGAGCCTCAAGCTCTCCCCCTGGGTAGAGTGCCATGGCATCATGCTCACAGCAACCTCCAACTCCTGGGCTCAAGCGAGTCTCCTGCCTCAGCCTCCCAAGTAGCTGGGACCACAGGCGCCCGCCACAATGCCTGGCTATTTTTCGGTTGCAGCCATCATTGTTGTTTGGCGGGCCCGGGCTGGGGATTCGAACCCGCCATCTTAGGTGTATGTGGCTGGCGCCTTAGCCACTTGAGCCACAGGCGCCGAGCCTAGTATAGTCTTGATTGATGGTCTGAAAAAAGTTGGACTCACCCTGGAATGAAGATTGTTACCTCCTTCACAGCTGAGGAAATAGGATGGCTCCCAGCACTTTGCGAAAGCCAGACCTGGTCTATCAGACTTTGAGGATGCCAGTACCCCATCCCTTCTCCGGTACCCCTAAGGAAGGGAACCAGCAGTTCAGCAAACAGTGCTGTGGTGAACTTCATGGTCTTGGAAATCAGGCAACCTGGGTTCAAATGCCCCTTGGACACTTAAGGTCTTTCTGCCTCAGTTTACTTATCTGTAAAAATGTTGATAGCTTCCTCATAAGGTTGTTGTAATGATTGAATAAGTCTAAAATACAGTTGACCTTTCAACACACATTGGAACTATGTAGGTACACATATGTGGATTTTCCCCAGCCTCTGCCCCCAGAGACAGCAAGACCCACTCTTTGTCCTCCTCAGCCTACTCAAAAGATGAATGATGATCCAACTTTCACTTGAAAGTAAAAGAGTAAATGAAGAGTAAATGTATTTTCTCTCCTTTATGTGTTTTTTTTTTAGAGACAGAGTCTCACTTTGTCACCCTCAGTGTAGTGCTGTGATGTCACAGCTCACAGCAACCTCCAGCTGTTTTTATTTTTTTGCAGTTTTTAGCCGGGGCCAGGTTGGAAGCTGCCACACCTGATATACGGGGCCAGCACCCTACTCCTCAAGCCACAGGCACCACCCAACCTCCAGCTGTTGGGCCAGGTGTCCTCAAACTGTGGCCCACAGAGGACATTTATCTGGCCCGCCATGTCCTGACCGTCAGCTGTTTTTGCTGCTGCTGCCTGTCCTTAGCAGCAGACTTGTCCCTTGGCTGCAGTCCGGCCCTCCAACGGTCTGAGGGACAGTGAACTGGCACCCTGTTTAAAAAGTTTGAGGACCCCTGGATTCTCTTGCCTCAGCCTCCGGAGTAGCTGGAACTACAGGCACCTGCCACAACACCCAGCTATTTTTTGTTGCAGTTTGGCTAGGGTGGGGTTTGAACCCTCCACCTTTGGCATATGGGAGCCACAGGTGCCACCCTTTTTCTTTTTTGAGAGTATTACTCTGTTGTCCTGAGTAGTGTGGTAGTGCCATCATAGCTCACTACTAAACCCCTGGGCTCAAGCGAACCTCCTGTCTCACCCTTCTGAGCAGGTGGGACTATAGGTGTGAACCACCATGACTGGGTAATTTCTTTAGTAATGGGGTCTTGTTATATTGCCCATGTGGAACTTGGGGGCTCAAGCAGTTCTCCTGCCTCAGCCTCCCCAAATGCTGGGATTATAGGAGTGAGTCATAGTGCCTGGATTATGATTTTGTAAATTATTTTTTTCCAGTTACTTTATGATAAGACTGCAGTGTGTAAGACATGTAATATACAAAATGTGTTGCTTTTTACTGGTAAGGTTTCTGGTCAGTAGGCTATTAGTAGTTATGTTTTGAGAAGCTATGTTACATGTGGATTTGACTGTGCATAGGAGGGGTTTGTAGGTGCCCCCCACCTTCTGCTTTGTTCAAGAGTCAACTGTACTAGCATAATTGAGTCACATATTAAAAACAAAGTGTGTACTGGGACTCTTAGAACGGCTGGCTTTCTATCTGGAGCTCTGTCCTACATCTTGCTGTCAGGGGATACTGAGGCACAGAGGAGGACACCTAACAAATCAGGGACAGAACTCTGGAGTTCTAAAGCAGTTTCCTGGCTTAGCGCCTGTAGCTCAAGCGGCTAAGGTGCCAGCCACATACACCAGAGCTGGTGGGTTCGAATCTAGCCTGGGTCTGCTAAACAACACTGACAACTACAACCAAAAAAATAGGGCATTGTGGTGGGCACCTGTGGTCCCAGCTATGTGGGAGGCTGAGGCAAGAGAATTGCTTAAGTCCAGGAGTTTGAGGTTCCTGTGAGCTGTGATGCCACAGCGCTCTACCCAGGACGACAGCTTGAGACTCTGTCTCAAAGAAAAAAAAAAGCAGTTTCCCAAGAATCTCCCCCTACCCCAAGGTGAGGCTGGCACCAGGCCCACCTGGGGCCCTGCCCAACCACCCATCCTCACCTCCCAAGTGTGCAGGCCCAATCCAAGCCCGGCCTGGTGCCATTTTTCCATGGGACTCTGGCGGTGGCGGTTCACATCTGGAGTCTAGACTCGGAGGCTCTGCGGGCCGGGCCTACCGCCCGGGCTGGGCCACCGCTGCCCGCTGTTTGCTCAGCTGAAGCTGGTTAATTGGAATTATAGTGGCCTCTGTGGTGATGGCTGGCCAGGCAGACCCTGGTCGGCCGCTGCCGAGGTCTGTGGAACATCTGGCCAGGCCAGGCCAGTCATTAGGTGGCAAGCGCCTGGCGCCACTGCCACCTCAGCCTCTGCCGGGGGCAGGCAGTGACTCAATGAGGCCTTTGTGGGCTTCTGGGCCGCAGAGCCAACCACGTTGTGTGCCTGGGCTGCCTGCCTCCTCTGCAGCTCTCAGAGAGGCCTTGTTCCAGGACCACACGGCCTCCCCCTGGAGGTGGCTGGAGTGGGCAGAGTTGAGAAGACCCTGAAAGGGAACCTCCCTGGCCTTTTGAAAATTTCTATCCTTCCTTTCCTTTCCATAGAGTCCTGGGCCCAGAGAAGTTAGGTGGCAGACTTGGAGGTGCCCAGCACACCAGCCACAGTGACTGAGTCCCAGGGGTTTGGGGAGGAGTTGCACAATTCTTAGGAACTTGGAATTTGATTTGGATTGAGGTAAAAAAAAAAAAAGGTCCACAGGCAAGCTGCCTCAATTCACAATGGAGCTAATAATAGCACCTATAACCTAAGACTGAAAATTCAGTGAAATTCTGTATCAAGATTGACTGACACACGTCAATACCTAGTGAGATGCTGCAGTGATGCTCTCTAGTCTCTGGTCATGCTTGTCCTGTGGCCACTTCCAAGCTGTCTGGAAGCCACTGTTATTTTCCACCTTTGAATGGAAAGCTTAGGCAGGGGAGAGCCCTGGGCTAGGAATGCCCACCCACTCTTGTCTTGGTTTCCCCATCTAGTGACCCCATACCAGGTAGGTAGATAAGTGCTGTGGCTCCTCCTTGCCTGATTGACTGGAAGCATCTCCTGCAGGCCAGGCACATCTGAGGAAACCCTGGCCCCAGGATTTCTAGCTCTTGGTCTCTCAGAATCAGTGGGCCCAATTTCTCCCTGCCCCAGCCTCTAGGGGCACCGGACCTTGTGTTGTGACTTGCCCCATAATAGTCACTTTAGAAAGAACTCAAGGAATGAGGAGAATGGAGAGACTGGGGCTTGACCTGTAGGGGAATCTAGAACTCAGAACCTATCCAGCTGAAGTCATATGGACATTAGGACTAGGAGGTGCAGGTTTTATGGTTCCTGGCTCCCTTGCTGTGTCAGGTTAGCCTTCTGGTACTCCCCCCACCTCTTGCTAAGGTGAATGGGGGACTCAGTGAGCACCTGCCCAACATCCTCATTGCCCCTCAAAAGTGCTGGGAGGTAAGGAAAACCCAATGGTGAGGGGAAGGAGGGAGGGAGATGGAGGAGAGAGCAAGAGAAAGAAAAAAGGCTCATGGGCCCCCTCTGCTGGCTAGAGGGTGTTCTGGGGGTGCTGGGCTGGCCAGGCACTGGGGTGGGTATCCATGAAGGGGCTTGCAGAAAAGTTTCTGGATAGGCAGGTAAGACCTAGCAAACCCAGTAGAAGACACTGGGTACTTATGCAGAGAACTCTTCCAGGAACACAGTGGCCTGCCCCGGCCATGGGATGAGTTTTTAATGTGAAGCAAAGTCAGTCCACAATACAAAAATCTAAAATCACACCCACTTTTCCCACCTGGCTCCTGGGTAGTGGGGGAAACTGGGGCTTCCTTTGCCTGCAGGGGATGTGGAGGAGGAGAGGAAAGCCAGGAAGGGGAAAGGGAAACAGAGGCCAAAGAGGGCCTGCTGGAGGGATCCTGCTACTCCCTCCCCATCCTGGAGCTGCCCTCAGCCTCCAGTGCCCTCTGCTCACACACAACAATTGGGGCCATCCCCCACCGGTCTGGTCTGGCCCTTAGAGGGTCAGATACCAGCCACGTCACTTCTCCTTCTTCTCCAGCCCCTTCGATGCTGATGCCTCCGTTCCCTCTTTGGATTCTGTCACTGCCGCTGGATCCTTAGGGTTTGACTCCTCATAACTGACCAAAAAATAAAACAATAAAAATACATTTAGAGGAGGAGGAAGAGCAGAATCTCTGCTGTTCCCCTCACCTGCTTGCCACTCCAGGCACCACCCTGGGCACATGTAGAACATCCGCCCTGCAGCCACTGCCCAGCACCTTCCAGTACTTGGCCCAGGCTAAGTGGGCCTGAGACAGGCGGCTGTGTTCCTCTGTGCCCATGGTGCCAAGAGGCAGCAAGGCAGCGGCCAGTGGAAGAGAGGTTGGGCCTGCTTGTGCGAACCAAGCATCTTGAACCTTCTGCTGGAAAGGGGAAAAGGTGTGTGGGGGTGTGTGTGTGAGTGTGTGTGTGTAGAATCCCAGGGTACTTGTCAGGAATCAAAACACTCAGCCCCAGAGCAGTGTGAAAGGGACTGCTCTCCGGGCAAGTGGCAAGGTGTTGCTTTGAAGATGGACACCCTGGCTTAGCTTTTGCTATGGGCTTCGCTCACTAAGTAAGTTCATGCCAAGGACAATACTTCTATTTCCTCACCAGATCAACCCCGTGAGGCAGGAATGTGCCCACTTACAGATGAAGAAAGAAAGGCTCCGAAAGAGGAAAGTGACTTGCCCAAGGTTATATATATATACACGTAGTGAATAGTAACAGTGTCTACTGATGTATTACAAGGGCCATTTGCATCTGCTCACTTGTGCGAGCCCCACCTTACCGGTGAGGACACGGAAATTCTGGGTTGCCCTGCTCCCCAGCACTATGGCTGGGTGCAGTGACTGCCTGGTGGTTGTAAAGGAGCTGCCTCCTGTGCCTACCCCGGGAGTGCTCCCTGCCCTGTACCCCAAAGCTGGATTATCTGCCCTACCTTGGGCCCCGGGGCAGTAGGGGGAAGCGGGCAGGTGGGCACCCGCTGGGCATTACATGGCGCTGGGATTCTGCGGGCGCCGGCGGCGAGGGCCAGCTAGCTTCTGCTGCATGGAGTCGGCCAGGCTGGCTGGGGAGCCCGAGACTGTGGGGAAGTGGGTGAGCCTCGGGGTATGAGGCAGGATTTCCGCCGAGGACTCGTAGCTGTGTGAGAGACAGAGAAGAGACAGAAAAAGAGATGGAGAGAGAAAGACTAAGGGAGGACAGAGACTTCCTTTCCAAGGAGCAGGGAACAGAACTGGCTTATTTTTATTCTTCCAGACTCTGTGGAAAGAAGCCAGTATTCCTTGGAAAATAGTAAATATGCACCTACAAAGGCACATTATGCAGCTGTGCAAAGAACAAGGATGGTCTAAGTGTGAATGTGCTGCTGTGAAAATATCTCTAAGATACATCATTCTGTGAAAAAGCAAGACACAGAATGTTCTCAGGGTGCCACCGTTGTGCAGGCTGCCTACACACGTCTGCATCTTGGTGCACGGTGTCCTGACCGTCTGTGTAACAAAGCTGGCCTCTGAGGGGTGGCTGGGGCATGAGAATGTCTTCCCTCTCAGAGCTATGGAATTTGGAATCTCTGCATTGTTTTTTTTGAGACAGAGTTTCAAGCTGTCACCCTGGGTAGAGTGCCGTGGCTTCATAGCTCATAGCAACCTCCAACTCTTGGGCCAAAGCAATCTTCTTGCCTTAGTTTTTCTATTTTTAGTAGAGATGGGGTCTCGTTTTTGCTCAGGCTGGTCTAGAACTGGTGAGCTCAAGCGATACATCCGCCTCGGCCTCCCAGAGTGCTAGGATTACAGGCGTGAGCCACCATGCCCGGCCTGCATTTCTTGCCTTTTTTTTCTTTTTTCACAAAATATATGAAAGTAAATGTAAACTTTTCACTCTGTTGACCTAAAGGTTTTGGTCAGTTGTCTAAAATAAATAAATAAGCAAATTAAGAAAGGGTGAGTCTCAATGAGAAAGAAAAGTAAACAAAAGCTAAGGTGGAGAATCAGGGAAGAGAGATGGACAGAAAGAGAAGAGAAAGAGCAACTACTTTTTTACCTTAATCTAAGAACCCCCAGGGTAGGGGTGGGGATAGAGGTCAGAAAGAGGGGGCAGGGTGCCTGTATGGCAGAATATATGGTACCAACTAGGTGAGAGGGGCCCCTCTTTGCCTAGGCTGTGGTGTTCAGAGTTTGTCCAGTAAAGACACAATAGGACTGAACTGGAGAGGCTACCCCAGGGGCAGTGGGACAGAAGGACCTGGGGCTGGATGGGATTCTGGGAGGTAGGTGCTGAACTCGGGGATCAGGTACCATGCCTACTTCAAGGGCTTCCCCAGATTTACTCCAAGTTCACTCCCCACTCTCCCTGATTGTCTCAGAAACTACAGGGCTTTACCAGGCCAGGAGATATGGGTAGCCAGGCTGGGAGGGCAGAGGCAGGTATGGGGGAGGAGTGAGTCACAGGATTCCCTGCGGGCAGCCAGGTGCACAGAAGGCTTTGGCAGGCACTTGAGGGACAAGTTAGAGGCCAGGCAGGTGGAGCTGGGTGGAAGGCCCCAGAGTGGGCAGCTTTAATCACAGCTGGCAGCTATTTCTAGGTTCCTGGCAGGCGGGGTCAGTGGTGCTAGGAGGCAGACACCTGCTGGAGTCACGAAGGCTTTGAGGTATGGGTGGGGCTGTGCGTGGGGTGTGGCAGGTGTGGATATGGCCCTGGGTACCTGTACGAGACACAAACTGAGATGGAAGGAAAGCAAGGAGCTATGGGTCAGAGCCACATGGTGGCTGAACAGGGACTGACACAGGACTTCCACTGGGGGTACTTTCCACCTTTGTGTTTCTTACATGTGCTAACTGAAGCCAGGGGAGGGGGAAGAAAATCTCTAAAGTCACCTGGTGACACACTCAGGTTGGAAACCCAGGGCTCCTGACAGCAGGCAGCTGAGAGAGAAATCCACACCAGCCATTCTGTTCTCATGACCCATGTGGCATTTGGATGTGGGGGCTGCCTAGAGGGCCCCTAGGCCTTGCCCTCCCAACTCCTGGCCCAGGGAAGGGTTCTGGCTGGTGCCCACAGGTGAGGCATCCATGTTATGGTGGAAAGGGTGAGAGGTGAAGCTGGTGGCAGGAATGTTCCCCAGAAACATGTACCAACAACTCTGGCTCCACTGGCTGCCCACAGATGCACCTGTACCCATATGAACATCTGTCCCCTATTCTTCCTTACCTGAACATCTCTGTTACTTCGCCCTTGGCCAGTGCCACAAGGACGGGAAAACCAATGCAGGCAGGGACCAGGTACAGGAGAGCAGGCTGCAAGAGGATACAAGCTGGTCAGGCAATGATGGCCAGGGAACCTGTTCTAGGTCATGCCCAGTACCCCAACCCTCTTCTGGGCTAGACTGAGGGATAGTGACTAGACCAGGTTCTCAGAGCAAGTCACTGGCTGGGTCTGAACCCAGAGCTGGGCTGCTTCTCCCAGAATAGAATCTAAGAAACACAGACAAAACCCCTCAAGTATGCAGAACTTCAAGGGTTCCCAGGAGTCTAGCAGGCAGCATCTGAATCACCTGGGACACCAAGTTCAAAATGCAACTTCCTGGCCAGCACAATGGCTCATGTCTGTATCTCAGCACTTTGGGAAACTGAGATGGAGGGTCTCTTGAGGCCAGAAGCAAGAGACAGCCTGGGCAACATAACAAGATCCCATTTCTGTAACAAGTAAGAAAATTAGCCAGCTGCAGTGGTGTGCATCTGTAGTCTCAGCCACATCCTAGCTTGGGTGACAGAGAAAGACCCTGTTTTTTTTTTTTTTTTTTTTTTTGAGACAGAGTCTCACTTTGTTGCCCTTAGTAGAGTGCCATGGCATCACAGCTCACAGCAACCTCCAGCTCTTGGGCTTAGACAATTCTCTTGGCTCAGCTTCCTGAGTAGCTAGGAATACAGGCGCTTACCACAATGTCTGGCTATTTTTTGTTGCAGTTGGGCTGGGGCTGGGTTCGAACTTGCCACCCTCGGTATATGGGGTCAGCACCCTACTCACTGAGCCACAGGCACTGCCCATCAAGACCCTGTCTTGTTTGTTTCGTTTTTTTTTTTTTTTGAGACAGAGTCTCAAGCTGTCCCCCTGGGTAGAGTAAGACCCTGTCTTAGGTTCTATTCCCAGAGATCCTGCTTCCCAAGGTCTGGGGCTGTAAGTTTGCATTTTAGCAAATGCTCCAGGAGATACTGTTATAATGATGATAATTAATGACATAACAGCTACATAGGCAGCACTTGCTAAAGCCTGTATTAAGGTGATCCAGCTGGTTACTGGCTTCACCCCTTCACATCCAAGGGGGTCCAGTCCACAGAATCTGTGCTGGGATTCCTGGTAAAGATGGGTTTGGAGAAAAGGATAATTATATTAAGAGCCCTGTTCATGAAACACTTGCTATGCAGGCACTGAGCTCAGCCCTCCTGGGAATACTGCAGCCTACCTCCACACCCCTTCTGACTGTTCTCCTATTGTAGGGGAAGAAGACTAACATTTTAGGGGGTAGTGGGAAGGGGACAGCCCAAACCTCAGAGATCTCAATATTAAACCAAGGATTGAACCTCAAGCATGCTAGACCCTAAGGCTATTCTTAGCTTGCAGCATTTCAAAGTTGGACATCGCTCCACTGTTTAACCCTCCAAAACTCCCAAGTGGCCTGAAGGCCCTGTGAGACATGACCCCCTGCTTCCTTCTCCAACCTCATCTGACCTGCCCCAATAGCCTGTCACCTCCAGCCATAGGACCTTTGCATGTACAGTTTCTGCGGTCCAGGATGCTCCTTCCTCCTTCAGACTCCGCCTCAGATGTACTTCTGTGGGGAGGCTTTCACTCGCATGTGGTAGGTCCGCTGGCTGCACACTCTCAGGGCCCTCTCTAGATCTCCCCTACAGCATTCCCAGCAGTCTATAATGGAACATCTCTGGGTGCCCCTGCAGACTGGAAGGTAGGATCCACAGATGTCTTCCTCGCTACTATATGCCTAGCACTCAGAAGAGGCCTGCTAAATACTAAGAGAATGGCTCCTTTATGGGTTCTCCCAAAGAGAGTATCATGGGAATGAATGGCATGAAGGCCAAGGAGACTGCGTTCTTTTTTTTTTTTTTTTTTT